TGAACAAGATGATTGCTAAATTGGGTAGCTGGTCCAATGTCTATACCTTAATTTTTGGTAGAGCCCTGATCCTGAATGCATCAATTTTTGCAATGATGTGGTATGCAGCCACAATTTGGAGCCCACATAGGCAGCATAAAGTTCAACTCAGAAGAAGAGCGGCCGCCTATTTGTGCACAGGAGACCCGTCAAAAGACAAATTCATTTCCAAAGTAGCATGGAAGTATGTTACTCTGAAAAGATTGCAAGGAGGTTTGGGAATTCTGGACCCAGGAACCCAAATCCAAGCCCTTCAAACAAAGTGGATCATGAAAATGATAGCCAATAATAACCTTCCCTGGAGCAAGTTAGGACTTCACAGAATACAACAAATAGCCAAATACAAGACCCCTGACAACATGCGTGGACTCTTTTGGATCATGAGTAAGTCCTGGGCTATGAAAGGCGGGGGGCAAGCTAATCACCAGGGGGAACAGGAAGAAGAACAGGAGGAAGATTTTTGGAGGCAACTATTGAAAGCATGGAGGGAAATACTACCGGCCAAAGTAAGAGAACCAGCAATTAAAGAAGAAGTTCTCAGGCAGCCGATCTTCTGTAACCAAGATTTGTTGGACCCACAAGGAAAACCATGGACCCTAACTACAAAGGATACAAAATGGGGGGCGTGGCTAGAAAAAGGAGTTTGGCAAATCAAACATCTTTGGCAGGATTCGGAAAAAAGATGGAAAACGATAGGAGAATTAAGAGAAACATTGAGGGGAACCCACAATCTACAAGCCAATCTGAATAACATATTGATTGCAGTACCAGGGAAATGGCATGAGCTACTGAAGGGTTCTTGTGAGTGGAGAACAGGCGAGTGGGCAACACAGCGGTCCGAAAACATCCCCACTGCTGCTTATCAGTTCAAATCAAGGGAGGGACCAGGGAACACATGGTTAGTATGTGACATATAAACAATCAAGGACCCGAGATCAACCACAAGCCTCTTAGGTGGTAATTCTTCAGGAGAGAGCCTTTCCATAACAAGCAGTAAGGAAAGTAAGAGTGGTAGAATCTGACGAACGACGCATGTATGAACCTTTACTAGGCATAGCAGAGTTGGAGGTCGATCCAGCGGAATGGGCTTGGAAGAGGAAGTCTAGTAGACTAGGAATAGAGAAGCGTAATAACATCATTGAATATTCTACTAAGCTGGGTTATTCCCTAAGAATGAGATCGGTCTCAATAATCCAGACCATTAACCAGAGATGGGAAAACCACCTCAATTTACCACCTAACCAAACTCTCATCTCCTCATGGAGTAGACTACTCGCCATCAACCCTGTCAAGATAAGAAGCTTCCAATGGCTGTTAGCCTATCGGGCGCTCCCAGTTAACAAATGGTTGAACAAAAGAAGGAACTCCCAGGTGCAATCACCTATGAAAGAACTTTGTTCCATTTGCCAGGAGGGACTGACAGTTGATATAGAACACTGTTTGCTAGAATGTCAGAAATCCAAACAGTTATGGACTCAAGCCTTCCGGCTTTGGCTCTTAATCACTAGCAAACCAATGCCATCGGATCGAGTCTCTCTCTTACTGGGACTACACACTGACAAGGCATGGCAGAGATTCGAAGTTTCTTTTT